TATATATATATATGAATTCTATGCTTCTATCAGAAAGAATGACACTGCCCCATTTGTTTTTCTTTGTTGTTTTTAATGTACTATGTGACTTTTTGTTTCTTTTATGTTCTTCCCCTATGGTATATCCCCTGTTGTCACTGTATTTTATTTTTGTACCCTGGTTTTGTATATACATTTATTTGAATTAGGGAAAAGTTGGGGAACAACAGAATGGTGAGATAAAGGACAAGGTGGGAAATCAAGGCAACAGCAACATACACAAGACAATATGTTGAAAATGATCTATACAACTTGGTGGGGGGGAAGTAGGAGAAAAATGAGGGAAGGGGTAACAAGTTTGACAAGAAATGTACTTATTATCTTACTTATGTAACTATAACCTCCCTATATATATCACTTTGACAATAATAAATACATGAATAAAAAAACAAAACAAACAAACAAATCCACTCTCACTGTCAGGCAATGGTGGCCCATGCCTGCAATCCCAGCTACTCAGGAGGCTGAGATCTGAAGTATGGGTTCAAAGCCAGCCAAGACAGGAAAGTCAGTGAAACTCTTATTTCCAATAAACTACTCAGAAAAAGCTGGAAGTGGTACTGTTGCTCAAGTGGTAGAGCACTAGCTTTGAGCATAGAGGCCCAGAGACAGTGCTTAGACTCTGAGTTCAAGCCCCAGGACTGGCAAAAAAAACACCAAAAAACACCAACAAAAATCCACTTTCACTGCTGTCTGTTCCTTCTGATTCTAAATCTTTCTTCCACTACTACATCTTTTTTTAAAAGATAGACCTTGAAGTCTGTATTTTAGCCCCCAAAACTCCTAAATCTAAGAGCACGTTAACAACTAAACCAATGAAGTAAAACAAGTAATCACAGCTGTGGTCAAAGAGGGTGACAATTCAGATGGAGGGTTGGCAGGGAATTAGGAAACAACAGCAACTGCAGTAGCTGGAAAGGCCTTTGAAGAGGACAGTCACATAGGGACCTGGAGAATCAGCTGCAGCTAGCTATAGAACAGCCTGTACAAATGACTTGTGAAAAGCTTACAAGCAACAGCAAGTGAATTCTTACCTACTCCTCCAAAGGGCAAAGAATTGAGGGTAAAGTGCATGATGACATCATTGCCCGTGACACCCCCACTGGACGTCTCATCAATCATCCGTTTGATGAGCTAAGGAACAGACAAAGGTGTCCAGGTCAGACCAAAGGCTCAGTGACATTTAGAAAGCACTTGCAGCTTCTCAAATATTTCAATATGCTCTAAGGACATACATAATGACTTTGTGTTCCAGTTATGAGTTCTTAAGTTTAGGGACATTATGCTAAATAGGTAACAACCTAAACTGTGGTTCATTTAGCAAACATGAGTGATATACTGACTTCTCAGATGCCTATCTAGTAAAAGTTGCATATACTAAGCTGAAAACCTGAAATCCTAAATGCTCTAAAATCCCAACATGATCTTACACAAGCAGGTAATTCTATACCATGAAACTTTTTTCATGCATTTAAATTACTAAACTGTGTAAATTACTGTGTAAAATACTGTGTAAAATTATCTTCAGGACATGTTTATATGACTATATAAAACATAACTTCTGTGGTTATATTTAGGTCTCATATCTAAGATGCCTGGAACATGTATATAAGGCAAATGTTCCAAAATCTTTTTAAAAAACTGCAATTAAGCTGGGTGTGGTAGCTCACACTTTAAGAAAAATAAATGTAATATATATACACACATATATTTTCAAATAGTTGTACAAGGAGGCTACAATTGTGGTACACATTTGTATTCCTAGCACTTGGTAGGCTCAAGTAGATCATTAATTAGAGGCCAGTCTTGGTTTGTATAGTGATATCCTGCCTCCAAAAAAATTGAAATCTGAAATAATTCTGATTCACAGCATTTCAACTTGTACATTGAGGGAAGTTACCCTGAACCTTTGGACCTACTTATACAGTCACTACCAAGGGTAGGGTACTCCATAGAACTGTAGCTAAAGTTTTTTTTTCAAATAGAGTATAGTTCAGACTATATTCTGGTCTTTAAAAAATCTTACTTTCCTATCTCTGTTCTAAACTACAGCATATGATTAATACATGCTCATCTGTATGAAATACAAAATGTAAGATTTTAGATTTAGCATCTTTTTTTTTTTCTTTTGCTGGTCCTAGGCTTGAACTCGGGGCTTAGGTGCTATCTCTAAGCTTTTTCACTTGAGGCTAGTGCTCTAACACTTGAGCCACATCTCCAATTCTAGCTTTTTGGTGATTAATTGGAGAGAAAAGTCTCTCAGATTTTCTTTCCCAGGCTGGCCTCTAACCTTGATCCTCAGATCTCGACCTCCTGAGTAGCTAGGATTATAAGTGTGAGCCACCACCGAAAAATTTAAAATCGTATTTTTGAAGAAATACATTGTGGATAGCCTAAGACCCAAAAAGGCCAATAATACTGCTGTCATTTTTCCTGGGTGCCAACAAGTGCTTGCAAGTTCTTCATGGTGAATGTATCCAACATACTCAGACTTCAGGGTTCCCATTATCTATAGTTGCTTTAAATGTTTTATGACCAGATTGGTCTTAAAAAGCCCTGTACATATGTCTCTCTCCAAATATTTGCAGCTATCTGTACCTCATTAGTCTAGCAAGCTTCAGAAGCTATCACATGACTACTGTTACTTAACACCCAAAGCTCTCTGGAATACATCTTGCTCATGAATTTGGACTAACTGGTACCATTTTCCCTTCTCATTTTCCTATTTGTTTTTCAGAGGGATCCTCTATGCACATGGAGGCTGCCAATCACCTAGAAATCTGAATAAGCAAGCCATGTAGAGAGTGGCAGAGCCACTCAATCAGGTGGTAAGGGTACTACCAATGTAACATCAACACACAGAAGCCTTTATCTTACCTAGCCCCATTTGGGTCACAGGGATAGGCTCTTACACAGAAATGCCCTGTGGATACAGGTCACAAAATGCTGGTACACATCAGTCTTCCAATTACATAAGTGGTGTTAGTGAGTCAAAAGACTTAAGACACTCACCCTAGTGGACTCAGATCTAACCCCAGGCATTAGGGGACAGGGTACAGTGATAACCCCAGGGCCTTATTACCTAAGATAACAAGCTAGGAATACAGTCATTTGTTGAACTTTGATATACAAATAAGCTGTCAAGGGGGCTGGGAAGGTGGCTCAGTGGTAGAGCGCTTGCCTTGCATGCATGAGGCCCTGGGTTCGATTCCTCAGCACCATATAAGCAGAAAAAGCCAGAAGTGGCGCTGTGGCTCAAGTGGTAGAGCGCTTGCCTTGCATGCATGAGGCCCTGGGTTCGATTCCTCAGCACCACATAAGCAAGCCGAAAGTGGCGCTGTGGCTCAAGTGGTAGAGTGCTAGCCTTGAGCTGAAGAGCTGAGGGACAGCGCCCAGGCCGAGTTCAGGCTCTATGATCGGACCCCCCCCCCCAAAAAAAAACAAAAAAAACAAATAAGCTGTCATTTGCTTTACTATAAAGGAGAAACATACCTTAAGGGAGTTATTTAGTGTGCAATTCTCTGTAAGGCTTACCTTATTGTTATGAGAGAATACATAGAGAGCCAATGGTTTCTCACGTTCATTTATGAAATGTATGGCTTCATCTGCATTTTTTACAGGCACTATTGGAAGAATTGGCCCAAAAATTTCTTCTTGCATCACCTTGGTTTCAGGATCAACATCAGTGAGTATTGTTGGGGCTGAAAAGAAATGAAATAAAAAAGAAAATGATAAAAGACAATAAGGCAACCCCTCTCACACTTGCTTCACCAGGTCTCCTACGCATCTCTCTCCCACTCATGGAAAGGACTGAGCGTTCCTTTTAGCATGGGTCAGCACTCATTGAATGAATAAATATCACAAGACTGTGAGTAAACTATAAACTATAAACATTCAATCTCCAAACCAAATGAATCAAGGGATCTCTTGCAAACCAAGACAGAAATATACTTAACATATTTTATTTATACATGTTAATAGCTATATAGATTTGGAGTTTATATCCATATCTTCCTATAAATAGATCTTTCTGGGCACACAGGCAGGTTTTTCATGAATGAAATCAATGTTTTCTCTTCTTTTTTTTTTTTTGTCAGTTATGAGGCTTGAACTCTGGGCCTGGGCACTGTCTCCCAGCTCTTCAGCTCATGGCTGGTGCTCTACCACTTGAACCACAGCACCAGTTCCAGCATTCTGAGTGGTTTATTGGAGATAAGAGTCTGACAGACTTTCCTGCCCAGGCTAGCTTTGAACTTTGATCCTCAGATCTCAGCCTCCTGAAGTAGCTAGGATTACAGGTGTGAGCAACCAGTGGCTGGCTTGCTTTTCCTTCTTAACTCAAGTGCTCTCACGCATATCATCTCACTGACTTTCATTCCAACCCTGTTACAGAGTAAGAAAACAAGCAGGCATCAGTGGCTCACACCTATAATCATAGCTACTCAGGATGCTGAGATTTGAGGATCGAAGTTCAAAGCCAGCCCATGAGAAGTGGAGCTGTGGCTCAAGTGGCAGAGCACTAGCCTTAAGCAAAAGAAGCTTAGGGACAGAGCCCATGATCCGAGTTCAAACTCCAGGATGGCAAAAAAAAAAGGAAAACATCTCCAGGGAGACAAGATTCCTTACATATGAGCTTGTTTATAATGGGAAAGAAGGGCAAAGGGTGTCAGAAAAATTGAAGTGTTCCAACAGTGGTCAGTATGGTTATCCATAAACTAACTGGATCCTCAAGTAAAAGAGAGAACATTTGACAACCAACAGACTGGCCTTCTTTCTTTACCTGGGATTTCTACTAGATTATCTTAGAACTGGAGAACTTACCTTAGTCTCAGGGTATATAAGCTATTCTCCAATCTACTGCCCACAACTTCCTTGAGGCATAGAACCAATGTGGTTTGGTCCTCTCCTTCTATGCATAGTCAAGACTTAGTTGAGTACCAGTTCAGAAGAATTAGACCAAAATAATCATGACTACGCTTCCTCTTGCAATTGAGAAATCTAGAAGTGGGGGGCATATTGCCATTCTAAGGATAGGAAGAAGGGCTAGAAGTGTGGCTCGATGGTAGAGCACTAGCTTATGAGTTGAAGTGTTAGAGTCTGAGTTCAAGTCCTGATCCTGAGTGGGGAGACAAGGATAGGAAGAACAGTGTCGTAGGTGTGTGTGTGTGTGTGTGTGTGTGTGTGTCTATGTGTGTGCTTTTTTGCTCAGAGCTGATAGTCTACCTCTTGAACTACAACTCCAGACCAGTTTTTTTTGCTGGTTAATTGGAGATACAGTCTCATAGACTTTTCTGCCCAGGCTGGCTTCAAACTTCAATACACAGATCTCAGCCTCTGGTGTAGTCAGAATTATAGGCCATTTATTTATTTAAAGTTGTATTACTTAGCTACTGAAATATCCAGCCCATGACAGTCTCATTATAGGAGAATAAGTTTCTTATTTAAATATTTTTAATTTTTATCGTTTTTTGGGGGGCCTAAACTCTGGGCCTGGGCGCTGTCTCTCAGCTCTTCAGCTCAAGGCTAGCACTCTACCACTTGAGCCACAGCAGCACTTCTGGCTTTTTTCTTTTTGCTTATGTGGTGCTGAGGAATCAAACCCAGGGCCTCATGAATGCAAGGCAAGCGTTCTACCACTGAGCCACCTTCTCAGCCCCTAATTTTTATCTTTTTAAGTTGAGTGGATGGAAATTTTAGGAAGAAAATAATTTGATAATATGCATGTAAATATGAAAAGTAGTATAACTAGGTGGTATCATTAAGCATATACATAGATATATGCATTCATTTAAAACAATTTTTAAGGAAAGTAGTATAGTAAAAAGCAGTAGTTAGTAGTTTATATGACACACTACACAAACAACAGTTTATATAAGATCAACAGTAGTGTTAGCTGGAACTGCCAAATTGCCATCTTCCCATAGAAAGACTCTCTATTACCTATGTAGCGCGTGGCCTCATCAATCTCCCCACCAAAAGCTATTTTTTGTCCTTCAAGCAGACGCCTTATCCTCTGAAAATGACGAATGTTAATGATCCTTTCATAATCAGAAGACTCTTTGATATTTTCTCCATAAAATTCCTATTGGAAACAATGAGTATTTAAAAGGCAAAAGATTTATATGATCTGAAGAGAAACTAGAGTATAACAATGTGTATTTAATTGTCACCAAGACCCATATTTAAATTTCTTTAAAATTTTAAAACATACTCATATTTGAAAACTGACCTGGTTTTACATACTCATAGAATCCAATACCCTACTCAAGTAACTTAGTAGAATAGTAGTATAGTAGCAAGAACAAGCTTTTTGGCAGATCAAGGATAAGAAAATAAAGCATTTCCACTCCCATCCATCATGTTCCTTAGTTCAGGGTTCTCATGGCTCTCTTAGAATCTCTTGGCTGTAGCTACTTTCCCCCTACAATAAGGTGGGTTGCTGAAGCAAAAACATTCTAGCTATAAACACTAAATATTTACTATCTAGCTCTTTAGCAAAATAGATTGCCAGCTTCTGCTCCATTTTATTGGTACGTTTTCTCTGGACTCGTGTTTTTACCACTTCCAGATGACAGTAAAACTGCAGTGGTAGAGTGCTTGCCATGCATGCATGAGGCCCTGGGTTCGATTTCTCAGCACCACATAAGAAAAAAGAAAAAATCCGGAAGTGACGCTGTGGCTCAAGTGGTAGAGTGCTAGCCTTGAGCTGAAGAGCTGAGGGACAGCGTCCAGGCCTAGAGTTCAGGCCCCACGACAGGAGCCCCCCCCCAAAAAATAAAAAACCTACTCAATGGATCAAAATACAATAAGGAATCAATATTTATTATGCAAAACAAACACAAAACTACTGAACTGCTGCAACTTTTCTAAGCCTTGTGAGACCTCTGAATTCAATCTGAAATATCTACCCAGAGCAACTCTCCAATCTGGTGTCTGACTTAACTGCACTCTTTTGGGAACCAAGGTCAGGGCCATTAGGCTGGTTGTAATGCAGAATCACCTGCTAGCCCTGGAAAGAGAATCTTTGGAGATAAGATCTAGAAATATTTTTAAATGGTTCTTTAAAATTTTTAACATGTAGCTCTGCTGCGAACCAATGTGATAGAGAATACGTGTCTCAAAGGTAGGTGGGAAAGCTAAATATTTGCCTAAGTTCCAACTACTTTCGGTTTCACAGGGGTCTTTAACTACTCTCCTTTCTATCCTACATTCCTAGAACCTAGTCAACTTTTAAATTCTGCTTTTCTGGTTCCACCTTCAGTCCCATCATAAATGTCTAAATCCCTCTAAGACCTTAATATCTTACCCTGTCTCCCTAAACTTCCTGGCACATAATTTACATTCTCTGATCATACACTAATCGTTTATATCTTTAATCCCTCCTTCTAGTGCTAAATTAACATTGGTTGATACACACACACACACACACACACACACACACACACACACACACATTAACCTAAGCAATACTGGGGTTTGAACCCAGGGTTTTGTGCTTGCTAGGCAGCTACTCTACTCCTTGAGCCTTGCTTCTGGCCCTGAATTATTCCAATAATTTCTTTCAGTAAAGGGGCGAAACATTTCATCCCTACCACTAAACTGGGTAACAGATAATTGTCCCATTCTTTTCTAGCAACTTAAATTATACATTTCCTTCAAGTCTTAGTTTAGTATACTACTATATAGCTTTCCTTGTTTCCTTCTTACAGATGTTTACCTAAGAGTCTGATAACCATCTAAAGGGTACACTTTAAGCAGATACTTAATGAACTGACTCTTTAAAGCTATTAGCCATTCCAGGGCCTCTACACATATGAGAACTGATAACCTTAATCAAAATGCCCATTATGCCAAAAGGGTCTCTAATTATACTCCAAAGGATTGGTATTCTCTACTCCCCTTAGATAGTCTATAAAAGTTACTAAGTTACACTTTCAATTAGCTAATAGATTAATTCAGTTACCTATACTACTGGAATTTTCCCAGAGGAAGAAAGAAATGAGGGTGTTGTCTACCAACAGTTGATCTACCTTTTTATATTATTGAAATCAGTAAACTGAAAGAGCTGAACACAAACCTTCAAGGTTTCTTTAATCTTCTGCACAATTTGGTGCTGGAGGGCAGATTCACAGAGAATGTAGTCAGGAGCAATGCATGTTTGACCACAATTCATGAACTTTCCCCAAGTTATGCGTCTGGGGGAGGGGGTAAAAACCACAACAACACTCAGAATAGAATAGCTAATTTGGTGAAATATTTTGGTGTCATTTGAATACTTTCCAACATATGTATGTGTATATTTGGTAATAATTAAAAAAAATCTGTCTGGGAATAGTGACTCACACCAATAATCCCAGCTACTTGGGAGGCAGAGATTAGAAAGATCACAGGAATATAGTTAGCAAGATTTCATCTCAATCAACAAGCTGCACATGGCAGCTCACATCTGTAATTCTAGCTATTCAGGAAGCATAATTTGGAAGATTGAAGTCTGAGGCCAGCCCCAGCTACAAAAATGAGTTCTTATTTAATAAACAGCTAATAAACAGGGCTGGGGTGTGTGTGGTCCAAATAGTAAAGCACCTGCCTATTAAGCAAGAGGCCGAGCTCAAATCCTAGTACTGCCAAAAGAAAAACAAATTCATTTCTCAATTAGTTGGTAGAACTTAGAATGCACTGTCCAACAGACATAGAATATTATAAGTAGCAGGAAGGTGTTCAAGCCAGCTTGACAAATAGTACTTGATAAGCAATGGTAACCATTGCTTACTATAGAAAAAGAGAACAGTCTCTTTTTTTTTGTCAGTAGTGGAGCTTGAACTCTGGGCCTGGGCACTGTCACTGAGCTTTTCTGGTGGTTTATTGGAGATAAAAGTCTCAGGGACTTTCCTGGCCGGGCTGGCTTTGAACTATGATCCTCAGATCTCAGCCTCCTGAGTAGCTAGGATTACAGGCGTGAGCCGGCTATATGAAATCTTAAGAACAGGAAGAAGCTTTCTAAAATTTATAAGGACAAATACATGATATCAGGACCTATGGCTCATTATTTCCAGCAGTGGAACCAGAAGACAGTTTATGTACATTGAACACCAAAGCTTAATGATGTATCTTAAAGCTATAAGGCATGGGGTTCAAAGAATACTGTCAGCCTTTTAGAAAAACCTTCCATTGTGCTGGAAGAAAAATTAAAAACTTGGTGAGCCAGCTCACCTGCAAGCAATGTCCAGGTTACAGTCTTTATCAATATAACATGGACTTTTCCCTCCCAGTTCAAGTGTCACAGGGGTCAGATGCTTGGCAGCAGCCTCCATAACAATTTTTCCAACTGCAGTGTTTCCTGTATAGAGAATGTGGTCAAATCGCTGTTTCAGAAGCTCTGTGGTTTCCACAACACCTCCATTAATAACAGCATACAGGTCCTCAAAAAAAAAAAAGAAACAAAAATTCTTATGTTTCCAAATTAGCCCTATTGTCAAGTTCCTATTTCAGCAATTCCTTCAGCATAAACATAACGTTTTGTAAAATCAGGAGATTGAGACCACTCCTTGTGGTCTCAAGTGGAAGATACAGAGTTTACTGGCACATGGGAACCTTCAGTCTATATGAAGCTGACCCAGAAAGTCCAATGTTTTCTATATAAGCTTGTCAATATTTTATTTAGGAGGATGGGGTGTGTTATATTGAAGCTGGGAATTTGGGTGAGAAAATGGCTGCTGTATATGATCACAGGACAAGTCTCAGCTCCAAGTCTTAATATTAATGTCTCTTTACCAGGAGTAGGGAAATTTTAGTTCTGCCAGAGGACATTTGGATTTCTGTAACATAATTTGAGTGCCATCGTTTGAGTGGAAAGCCCACAAAAAGAATACAGTCTGTCTTGTCATGTTCCGAATGATTTTACAAGCCTTAGATGGCCCTTAGGCTGCATTTACTTTTGTATGTGTGGTGTGTGCTGATTCTGGAGCTTAAATTTAGGGCCTGGGTGCTGTCCCTGAGCTTCTCTGCTCAAGAGTAGTGCTCTACCACCTGAGCCATGGCTCCATTTCTGGCTTTTTGGTGGTTAATTGGAGATAAGAATTTCACAGGTTTATCTGCCTGGGATAGTTTCCAACCTTAATCCTCAGATCTCAGATTTCTTAGAGGCTAGGATTACAGTTGTTGAGTCACAAGCAATTAGCTGCCCTTGCTTTTGAAGTATATTTACATTGAATTTGGGGTCTGCTACAAACTGGCTTATGCAACTCAGGAAAGCTACTGAACATCTGAGCCTGTTATTGGGAAGATTCACAGTTTCTGTAAACTGACTCTTCATATGCAATTATGTTATTACTAGCAGCTATTCTAAGAGAGAATACTTTGAACAGTAATAGCAGGAAAAGTAACAACAAATGGCAAGGCAAAAAGATAGAAGGAGATATAAAAATTCTGAGTTATATGAAGTATAAGTAGGCTTGTGGGCTCATGTTTGCTTTTGGGCTCCTGCTCTTTGAAAGCTAACTAGTTTTCATTTGCTTTATAGGCTGAATATATTTCAAATTTTAACTTTTTTTCTTTTTGGCCTATATTGGTGTTTGAACGCAAGGCCTCATACTTGCTTAGCTCTTACTTGCTTGTCCAGCACTCTGCCACTTGAGTCACCTTTTGGGGGGCTTCATTTATAGATCATATATGATTGGTCTCCCATTAAGCTAACTGAAGCAGGTACATTACTGTCCTCCCCACCCCCCAATCAAGACAGTCAACTATTGAAGAATTTACCCCTGGGGAGAGGTAACACAGGACAATGATTCTTCATTTTCTGGTTTCAAGTCCTACATAATCTAAGACACATCACTATGTTTCATTTCATCCTTCTGGAGTAGACAACCACAGCTATTAGAACAAAATATTTCTGTGGCTGCAGTAACAGTGATAAGATCACAACAAAAACAGTATTATTCTGAGTTAACCTCAAGGTAGTTGTAACCTAATGTGCAAAATATGTGGGACATTTTAAAGTTGCCTTTTGTTGAATATAAAATGAAGAATTCTCTTTGAAGCAATTGCATGTGGAACTCAGCAATCTCAAATTAATCACACATTTCCTCTAGCAAAGCATGAGAACCTTGATTCAGATAAAAAGATAAACCACTCTAAAGCTGAGACTGTTTCCTGGTTCAGCCTTTGATACTCTTAAATGCCAGCCCTTTAACCCAGAGTGAGGATCCACCTGCTAGTTCAGAAGGCCACTTTCTTTCTGTAGTGTTCATTCCACAGACATGCCCTTCATAAAAGCAGAAGTACTCATATAATATTACAGTATGGTATTCTGTTAGGACAAAAGAAACTGTCAGCGACAAAAACATGCTAGTACTCATCATTGGTTAATTTACTAAATGAACATTTCTAAAATCATATGTTAGTGCAAATAAAGGCTAGTCCCAAATGCCAAATGGTAGAAGATCTGTAAATAGTGGTGATATTTATGAAGCCCAAGTGTACATTGTGTAACCATAACTGTTGGATTATTTCACTGTGTATTTTGGAACTTAATTTCTTTTCTTAAGCCAATTAGTGGAGGCTTAAGAAACTGCCCATGGATAGGTAGCAATGACATATACAAGGAGCAAAATCAAGTGTATTTTCCACACAAAAAAAATTATATTAAAGATGGGTCAAGATATTCTTACCTGGTCTAAATATTGAGGAAGAAGTTTAGCCAAGATCTCGGCTGTATTTTCACTTAGTTCTGAAGGCTTGATAATCACAGCATTTCCTACACAAAAAAGCAGAACAGTGTCATCTAATACCTGAGAAACTTTAGTACCTTCCAAAACAATGTTCATGAAGAGAATATAGGCTATTGCAGTAGGACAAAAGAGATTGTCAGTGACAGTACTTCAATTGTTTCTGCAGCCCTTAATTCTGATTTCTTCATAATGAGCACAAAAGCTCATCTTACTTTCCTTTCACCTATTCCTTCCAAACTGTTAATTCCTTAGTTCTTAGTATCTCTAGGACATTGAGAACAGGCTCAGTCAGCCTTTCCTACTCTTCCAAGCTTTCTGTTACTTATCCTTTATTTTAGCTTGACTTTTCCCTTTGCCCTAAAATTATTGAGCAAATTAGCTATGTCAACATAAGCTATTGATAGAGATTCCCCAATAATTGCTTGCGATTTGTATATAAACAAGATAACATTCTAAGAACCCTTGCTGGAATGAAGAAACTGGTCAGACAGAATCAAAATGAGGTTTATTCAAGGACAGAACTAGCAACTGAAACCACATTAGAATATGGATGCTTGACTCCAAAGCCTTGGGCCTTCTGATTTAATTATATACATCTTCCCCTTACAGGCTTATTCCTCAGGTACTTTAAAAAATAGTCACGCAAATCTTCTCATCAGCTATTAAAAATACATATGTACATATTTCTGGATTCTCAATACACTGCTAATGACAACCAAGGGAAATTACCACCAAAGTAAACTTAATTGGTCACTATCCTTAATTTAGAACCAACAAGAAAAGATATGCCCCTCTGAAAAGATATAAAGACAGAAGCTAACATCAGACCTGCAGCAATGGCTCCCACCAGCGGCTGTATGGTGAGCAGAAAGGGATAGTTCCAAGCTCCAATAATTAGTACAACTCCCAGAGGCTCTGGCTGAATATAGGCTTCATCCATCATGGTAAGCAGATTCTTCTTAACTGGTTTAGCAGTAACCCATTCAGCAAGATTCTCCAGCACAAAATCAATTTCCCCAAGGATACTGATGACTTCCTGACTGTATGCATTGAATTCACTCTGGTAGAAGAGAATTACAGTTTTATACAATGAGTATGATACATTTGGCTCAACATGTCAAAAATCTCAGGGCAGGTACATCTGCAGTGACAAAATGTGTTACTAGACCACCTCGTTTGTTATCTAGATTCCTTCTACACCCTCCACAGTCTCAATAAAGAGTTGCTATCTCCTGTTCTAATATATTCAATGTCTCTAAATCTGTCTTTATTTATTTGAGTCCTTTAACATTATCTCCTTTAGGAAGACTTGCCTGCTTAATAATGGCCTGCCTTGATTACATTTTGTGTACTACAGCAATTATGCTTTTGACTTATATTTAATATAACATCCTTAATATACTGATCTATAATTATTCTCACATCTTATCTGCATGTGTTCTATTTTTCAACCAAGATAAAACTCTCAAGGCAGGGAACTTTGTATATGTCCCTAATAAGTGTATATATACTTACATATTCACATAAAATTTGATATAGGATGAATAAATGATTCACATCTTCTTAAGTCACAATTACTCCATCTCATTTATCTAGTATTACACTTCTCCCCATCAAAGTACTCTATAATTTATTTTTATTTTTTGTCCATCATGGGACTTGAACGCTGGGCCTGGGTACTGTCCCTGAGCTCCTCAGCTGAAGGCAAGGGCTCTACCACTTGAGCCACAGAGCCACTTCCAGTATTCTGGTGGTTTATTGGAGATGAGTCTCATGGACTTTCCTGCCTAGGCTGGCTTTGAACTGCAATCCTCAGATCTCAGCCTTCTGAGTAGCTAGGATTACAGGTGTGAGCCACAGGGCCCAGCTCTATAGAAAATTCTATGGATACTAAAATCTTAGGAAGTACTGTTCCTACTCCTTGACATAGTCTTTGACTGGGCAAAAGAGAATCATAAACCCAAAGAAAGGCCTTTGCTGTGTACTGAATGTACATAAAAAGTAAAAACAATTGGAGGCTGGGAAGGTGGCTCAGTGGTAGAGTGCTTGCCTCACATGCATGAGGCCCTGAGTTCAATTCCCCAGTACCACATAAGCAAAAAAAGCCAAAAGTAGCACTGTGGCTCAAGTGGTAAAGAGCCTTGAGCTGAAGAACTGAGGGACAGCGCCCAGGCCCAGAGTTCAGGCCCCATGACTCACAAAAAAAAAAAAAAAGTAAAAGCATTTGGGAATCTGGGATCTGGAACATCATGGGTCAAGGCCAGCCAAGGCATACACATGAAACCTCTTCCCACCAATAATTAGACATAGTAGTACATGCCTATCATCAAAGCTATATGGGAGATCATGGTTTCAGGTCAACTTGGGAAGAAAAGTCCACAAAAAAAAAGGGGCTTGGAAGCATGGTTCAAGTAGAACAACTATCTAATAAGTGTGAGGCCCTGAGTTCAACTTCCAGTCTCATCAGTAAAAACAAATAGTGCAAAAAGGGCTAGGGGTGTGGCTCAGAAGAATGCCTGCCTAGTAAGTTAGAGGTCTGAAATTCAAACCCCAGTACTGACAGGAAAAAAAAAAGTGGGAGTAAAAACAGAATGAAAACAATATTGTTAGAAAATACAGCAGAATATAGTTATAACTTTTCTTTTTTGAGTCTGTTCCTGGGGCCTGAACTCTGGGCTTGGAAGCTGTCCCTCAGCTTTTCAGCTCAAGGCTAGCACTCTACCACTTGAGCCACAGTGCCACTTCCAGCTTTTTTCTTTTTGCTTATGTGGTGCTGAGGAATCAAACCCAGGGCCTCAGGCATGCAAGACAAGCACTCTACCACTGAGCCACCTTCCCAGCCCTATAGTTATAACCTTAAACACTATTTAAAACTTTGCTACTCAAGGTATACTCTCCAGAGAGGCAGCACAATATCACTTGGGACTTCGTTAGAAACTAGTCATCTCAGACTCTACCCTAGACCAACTAACTCATAATTTGCATTTTAACAGGTCCCTAGATGCACCAGAGTTTAAGGAGCACTAACCTAACAGTACACAGTCACGACAGAAAATCTGAATACGAAGATGCCCACCTCCCCCCACCCCATACACACAAAAGTCACTGTCTAAAACCAAAAATAGTTTAAGAAAATAGATATGCAATAGATCAAAACGGTTAAATTGATAAGTTACTGATACCCAGCATATGGAAAACTCCCTGCAACTTGTAAGGAAACGAACCAGAAAAATGGGCAAGCATAGGAAAAGACAATTTGCCAGGAAACTCACACACGTCCACCGTGCACAGATAAGCAGGGTTGACTGCGCAGCCCACACCCACAGGTCCTCCCACAGCGCTTGTGTAATGCGAAGTAAAGGAGGAAAAAGAGAGAAAGAAGCGGGGAGGGGAAGGGAGGAAGAGGAGTGAGGAAGGAGGATGTGGAGGGAGGAGGATCAGGACGCTGGGAGGGGGAGGGAGAGGGAGAGGGAGAAGCTTCAGCAGACTGCGGCTTCCAAGTTGGGCGGCCAGAGGCCGGGGTCCGGAGGCCGGCGTCCGGAGCCCCTCTCGCCGCGCGCGAGCACCTTGCACAGGTCGGCGGAGATGGCCGCCAGGATGTCCTTCTCATGCTCCTGCACCATCTTCCGCAGGGCCTCGAGCTGCTGCATCCGGAACCGCAGGGGTCGCGGCCGGCCGGCCCGGAACGCCTGACGAAGCCTCAGGACGTGTCGCTCCATGGCGGGGTTTGAGGAGAAAGCCGAGGTCCTGGAGCCGGACGGCGCGAAGACGTGGCGGGGAGGGACGGAGGCAGGTGTGGTGGCGAGCCCCTCTACCCCCGGTCCCTCAGCGGGTCCCCCCCAGGTGACCACGCTTGGTGGACAAGCCGCGGCCTCCGCGCCGGCCAAGTACGACTGCCCCTCAGCTGCGCCAAGCCGCAGGTCACCACCTTGTGCCGCGCGCCCATTGGCCACTCGCTCCCCCACGTGACCATAAACCACGCCCACTCCCCCCTGTTCTCGGAACCGCCCTCTCTTGACTGAGGGAAGTGGTTAGTCCGGTGGTGCTGGACCCAGAGGGGTTTCGGAGTGTGCAAAGTTGCAGGGAGAGAGGGCACTGACTGGCTGAAGCATAGTGGGCAAGCCGCTAAGGAGAGGTGGGTGTCAGGCAGGAAGCGCCCTCACCCCGACGCGACGCGGGCCCGGAGTGAGTTTCCTTCCTTTTTCTTTCTGCGGCTCTTTCATTTGGCGGAATGGGCAGCTTGGGGGGACCTGGTGCGGACCAGGCTCTGGGCCCTAGGGTCGGGTCTCTCAGGTCTGTGGGCAGTGGGCCAGGAGTGGGGTACAGCTTCGGACTCCCTCTGTCTCCAGCTGCTTTCATCCTGTGGGACTAAGGACAAGAAAAGAAGCTGGCCTCCTTCAGTAATTCCCGCAATCATTTCCATCACCTGTGGTTTTCTTTCTCTCCTGTCTGCATATCCCATTTTTCTAATCTGCCTTACTCTTCTTGTTTTCCTTTTGGTGTACTCGAATGAGTCCTTTAGGATTTCTGTTCCTCTCCCTCTCCTCTCTTTCTCTTCTCTTTCCTCTTTCTCCTCTAGGGTTTGAACTTAGGGCAGACACTCTCTTGGCCTGCACTCTATCGCTTGAATCACACCACAGCCCTTCTTTTAGTTTTTTTTTTTTCTTAAATAGGATCTCAGTCCTGACCGGCCTCTAACTTTGATTCTCCTACCTCTGCCTCCTTGTACATCCTGTGTACTTGGGATCACAGGCTTGCACTACTGATGCCCAACTTAATGATCTCTGCAGTATTCAAGTGACTTCTGGATCGCCTTCTCTTTTCACAGTCACTTCTTCATCTAATCCAATGGATGATGGACAGAAAAGGCTTTAAGACCAAACTTTCCTCTTGAGTTCCCAACTGTTTATTTACATCCTTGTGATCTCCATTTGGATTTGTAACAGGCATTTTTACAGCTAACTTTAAACAATTTTTCATTTATTTTCCTCTACCAAACAATGAATACCTTCTCCAGTGTTCCGGGTCAGTGAATGAATGAATGAATGGGAGGGACCATCTATTATGTCTTTGCAATCATTCTTGACTCTGCTTATTTGGCCTTCTCTTCAAAACATGCACTGGATCTAACTGCTTTCACACTAGTAAAAACCATAAGCACTTTTCACCTGACTTATGTAGAGCAATAACGTTCTAATGGTCTCCGGTTCTTCTCTTGATTCTTTGAAGATCTGTCCATTTCTTAGTTCCTCACTTTGTCTTTTATACTCTATGCTGTAGAGGCCCAGGCTATGTAAAACACATCTCCTAAGCTCTCTTACCACTTACCTTTGCCTGAGGTTCTGCCACTAGGAGGGATTATCAGGAAATCAGAAGGTAGAATAATTGTGTGCTTCTGGATTCAATCCTATGCAGTTGCTGACCATTTCTGTAGTGGAAGAGGAGTTAAGATTATTCCTAACTGGGCACTGTAGCTCATGCCTATATTTTTAGCTACTCAGGAGGCTGAAATCTGAGGATAGAGATCTGAGGATGGAGATTCAAAGCCAGCCAGGGCAGGTCCAATTAACCACCAGCAAACTAGAAGTAGTGCTGTGGCTCAGAATGGTAGAGTGCTAGCCTTAAGTGAAAGAGCTCAGGCCCTGAGTCCAAGCTTCTTGACCAACACCCCCCCTCCAAAAAAAATTATTCCTGATGTTTGTTCCTTCTTGCCTTGGTCAAGGTGGCCCCATAGATTGGCAGTGACATCTCCAAAGGGCATGGGCTCCTATCTGTGCAGCCCCACAGAGTTCAGCAGCTTTAACAGTTTTAGCAACTACTGCTATGTGACATCACCCCATTCTTCCTTGTGTATTAATCTTAAAATTTCCTCCATGAAATAACTAAATTTGTTTCCTCATTACCACTGGACTGTGAGAGCCTCTCTAATGCCAAGCTGTGAGACCTGAAATAGTTAAGGTCTTGAAATGCCAGCTCTATGTGCCCTGGGTTGCTGAGGACCCAGCCTGAGTAAAGTCAAATGGTTGAGGCTGACAGAGGTAAAAGTTACTACCCAAAGTGTGTTTAAATTAGACCTGCTTGGACACTAAAGGCTTAAGGCCTTGAAGACAAGGTGACATCTGTTTTACAGATAGAATGTTTTATTCTTTCTGCTCCCTAACGATAAGGGAGTCAATTACTTCTATGTATACAAATTATACCTCAAGTTAATGGTTGTAACCACAAGATAGATTGATACCCTAGTCTCTGAACTTATCTATAGCCATTCCTCCCCCTTACTGAAACCCAGTAAAAATAGTCGTTTGTAAGATTACTATAATCATAAGCCAAATGAGCTTTTGATTCCCCTGGTGCCCCCCCTCAATTCTTCAGCTGGTCTCCCGTTCTTTTCCCTGATCACAGCAGTCAGCCACACCGTACCTTGACAAATGTGCTCGCTATAGCCTATTTTTCACTTGGCTGCCACTGACCTTTTGGAAAGGTACCTGACCTTGTTAGTCCTTTGTTCAAAACTTTCCAACAGCTTTCTGTTACATTGAGGATAAAACCCAGAGCCTTTGGCTGTGCCAAGATTTGTGAGATTTCTCCATTAATGAGTTAGCTGGAGTGGCTTACTTGCTGAATACCAAACACTGACTGCATCCCTGTCCCAACATACTGATGTGCATTTGCCTAGAGTGGCCAGCTTTCTTTTCTGGCTTTCTTAACAGCTTATAATTTGAGACTTATTTAAGAAGATTCTTGGTGAATCAAAACAATTGGCCAGACCATCATACTCTCCTCAAGCTCTGTTTCTCCCCAGAATCTGCTAAAACAAAACAAAAAATGAAGGTAGGGGTGTGGCTCAAAGTGGTATAGCAAATGAACAACAAAAAGAAACCCATTCTGTGGGAGAATGCAAGTGGGAAGGTATGGAAGAAGGTAAGCAGCCTTCTGCACTAAGGGAAACGCAATAACCTATAACATATAACAAGTCTTTGAATCAAGTCCATAAGTAATTGAGGATTATCTGTAGGTAACAAGCCAACTGCTTAAGATTAGTATCTAGAACTGTGTAGCAATGTTTAAGCCAGTTCAGAATTTGCTACAGTAATATGCTAGGTTATCTTTTTCAGTTGATCTTCAAGTGGCCAATTATAAACATTGTGTAAGTGTGAATTATGGGACATAAGTGGGATATGAATAATTCTGTGGTTTTAAAAAATATGAATAGTAAATAGAATCCCAGTGTGGAATTAGAACAGAAATCATTATTAACTCACATTAATGTTATACTAAGACACATTAATCTCTAAGCAGCAAATTGCTGCTTCTCCATCTGAGGTTAAGGCAAGAGGATTTCTTAATATTTTGTGATTGTAGAGACACAATTACTAACTAATTGATTCTTTACTAACTCTTGCATATTTTATGAATTGGAGAAACCAATTGATGGCATTTTTCCCTCTTTGGTAGCACTCTTGTTTGAGCTCTAGGCCTTGTGATTGCTAGGCAGGTGCTCTATCATTTGAGTCACATCCTCAGCTCAATTGGTGGCATTTTGTTGGGCATATTTATTAATTTTTTTAATTTAATTTTTTGTCAGTCCTGGAGCTTGAAGTCTGGGCCTGGACACTGTTTCTCAGCTCTTCAGCTCAAGGCTAGCACTCTACCATTTGAGCCACAGCACCACTTCAAGTTTTCTGGTGGTTTATTGGAGATAAGAATCTCATGGACTTTCCTGCCTAGGCTGGCTTTGAACCCTGATCCTCAGATCTCAGCCTTCTGAGTAGCTAGGATTATAGGTGTGAGCCACCAGCAGATCCAAATGCTTTAACAGAACAAGTTCATATATTTTTAGAATCAGAAAGAAGATTGAGAAATTTTTACTATTATCTCAAACTGAAGTCTTTGCCCTTCCAACCCTTGAAAATAGCATTCTCATTGATTAAAGTAGCTAAGGACAAATGAAAGCACCACTGCGGAGCACAGGCAAATGGGGTAAGTCCTACCACCTAGTTCTTCTAGGAAAGTAATAGACTGGTGATTTTTACTATGCCTGCTCACCAGGCATAGTAAAACCTTTTTCAATTAAAAGAGGTTTCTTGCCAGGTCAGTTTCTTCTTGGTTGGTTGTAGGGCTTGAACTCAGGGCCTGGGTGCTGGTCCCTGAGCCTCTTTGTGCTCAAGGCTAGCACTCTACCACTTAAGCCACAGTGCTACTTCTAATTTTTGAGTAGTTTATTGGAGATAAGAGTCTCATAGGGACTATTCTGCCTAGACTGGCTTCAAAACACAATTCAGATCCCAGCATCCTGAGTAGCTAGGATTACAGGCATGAGATACCAGCCACCCAGCTAGGATTTAAGCAGGAAAGTCCAAGAGACTCTTATCTCCAATTAAGTCCCAGAAAAGCCGGAGGTGGAGCTATGATTCAAGTAGTAGAGTGCTAGCCTTAAGCAGAAAAGCTCAGGGGCAGTACTCAGGCTCAGGCCCTGAGATCAAGCCCCAAGACAGGCACACACACACACAAGTTTTTTAAGTACATCTGTACTTGATAGTTTCATAAGTCAGTAAATTTCCAAATGGTAGAAATCCAAACTGTGAACTGACTCTTTGCCACTGACCATTAAAATAGACTTGATTATTATATAGAGACTTGCCAAATTTCACTGTATTCAGGTTCTCATTAAATCCATTACAGGATAGGAGGAATTCACTATGTTGCAGGGAGACAACCAGCAAATCACATAAAACTTTCTAGAAAACGAAATTATGGTTAGAAGGAAGAAAGAAACCCTCAAAATCTTCAGTCTCCTTTTTTTTTTTTGTCCGTCATGGGGCCTGAACTCTGGGTCTAGGTGCTGTCCCTCAGCTCTTCAGCTCAAGGCTAGCGCTC